GGGAGCATAGTTTTCTTTCTCACTATTTAGGGGGCAGTTTACTATTTCAGTGCTTTTTGTAGCGTTTCGTGATTTCAAAATAAGCACACTCAAACTACTTCACCCCCTTGAGTTTAGTAAGGTTGCTGAAAGTTGAGATAAACATTAAAAACATTGAATGGGCTATCCTCAACGAATATGCTACATTTGCAAGAGATTCACGTTCAACATTGTATAGCCGAATTACAAAATAAAGTTTGACGATAACCCAAAAGTGGGTGTAACAAAAATTCAATGGAAGAGCATAGCATGTACCTCACGAAGAACATCCGACATAGCAGTTTCTGAAGGTGCCACACGCAATTTTAATAAATGAGACTTGCGAAAGGCCTGCATAAATTACTGAAAGCACTTACCACTATTTGAGACACCAACTAAGCCAATATTAATAACAAACAGTGATTATTCTAAAACCACCTATTCCTACAAAATAGTTCACTTCTTATCCTTTTTCCAACTATTCTTCCACAACAATAATTACTGATAGAACTAGTGGTCATAGATAAAATAGTTAATTAATCCCTCCCTCCCAGCGATCAATGAAAGGATAAAAATGACCTGAATTTGATGGGGAGTATTCTCTAGTATAACTTAACAAATTTCATCATGAATCTTGCAACCCATTAAAGAGAACTGTAACAAAAAGCCATATTAAACTTTAAACCTCCCATTCTAAGTTTAAAGCAATCTGATTTACACATGAGAACAGAAGTTGTACATAAGATCGAGAGTACAGGTAAAGGAAATGCATGCTTTAAGCTAAGTTATGTATCAACAGCCAAATAAGATGAAATCATGAAAATTTATTTCTTATTGCAAAATTGAAATATCATATAATGTTACCTTAATGGCATAATGTTTTCCGTCAGTACGGCTCCGATATAGAACCTGTCATTGCAAGGTGACAAGATATTTAACCGAAATTCCTTCAATTAAAAATGGTAACATAACACCCGTAGCAATCAGCTCACCACTTTTCCATAACTACCAGAACCAATCTTATATTCTCGTACATACTCATTAACCATCTTGTTCCCATCTTCATCCTGGAACAATTACATCCATGAGTAATACCAGGAAAAGTACTGTGACAAAATAGCTGCATGGAAGGTCAACCATTTTTTTCTTTTTAGAAAAGCTGCATAGAAGGTTGACCATACAAAGCTAATAGAGCGTGCCACTTCAACAATTGCATTTGTACAAGAGAAGACAAACAATGCGATCAAATAGCTGCATAAAAGGATAACCATGCAATAGAGCATGCCACTTCAGTGGGCTCAACATACAAATGTCTACTACAAAAAAACAATTAATAGCAAAGTAAAAGGTGTTGTCTGTGCACTAGCAAGAACTCAACCTTTTCTTATCAAAAACAAGTTAATAGCAACATAAGGAAGTATATTTCTCCAACCAGACATCTTTGGAGATATTAAAAATTAAAATGTCTGCTCTGGTTTACCTTTTTTAATAGGTAAATATATGCTATCGGGGAAGTATATTTCAAACAAGAAGGCCTCTTAGCCCTGACTTTAGGGGGGAAAAAAAGCACCTATCAGGACAGCCAAACCTACTCATCTATAGCTCGATGGAAGCTGAGCTGAAGTGAAAGCATCGAGTGGAGGGGATTAGTAACCATCATTTTCACGTCTATTAACTTAAATGAAGGTTCAAACATTTCCATTTTCCAGCTATACACGTATACTTTGTTTGCCAAAGTGTTAAAAAGATCTTATATTCTCCTATTACCTCATCCCGTATGACTTTGTGGGTTTCCTTGACAGGGATCTCCCTGCAAACCAACCCATTTTGAGCTCTGTACATGAGAATCTCTTCAGAGCGTTTGACTGGGCTGCGATACTCACCATCATCCCCATTACCAGTATCAGTTACATCACCATTGTAGGAGCAACCATCTTCTTCCTCCCCCTCTTCATATAACAAAGACTCCTGAGAACAGTTATTTGACAATCCCAAATTGGGCCTTCCCACCCTCTTTGGTTTCCTAGCAAAACAGAACCCAAAACACCCACAGCACCCCATTTCTGTCACTTTAGCAACAGAATGCCCCTTCACAAACATCAAGAAACTACAGAAAGTTGTAATGACCACACTATACAACCTGATAACAATTTGATCCCCACACCTGAAAATTAGCATACGTCTTGTTACAAATCAATATGCAACTCAATTCGCATACCAATCCAAAGATAAAAGCAGTATGATCCTTGATTATAAAATAAAGGTAGAAGTAGTATGATACTCTTAAAGGGAAAATTTTGATATGGGCTACAAGCCCCTGTTGACTTTGCTATTCAAGTGGATGCCATTCAGAAAAATGAAAGAAGCAGTTGATCAAATTGACTCCGTTGCGATTGAATCCCGACATAGTGAAATGAGCTCCAGTTTACTACAAGAATTAGTTACAGACCGAGGCAGGCTAGTATATCCACTCCTACAACAGCCAAGGAGCCTTATCAGAGAACCTGACCTTTCACCATAACTGGAAAAAAAAAACAGAAAGGAAAAAGATCACAAGTTTTAACTACTACACATTATGGAATATGAATTGAAGTAACACGTTATATATGTCTATCTATGTACACACACACACTCTATATTCATGTATCATCTGCATGTTGAGATACAAACAAATGCAACTGCTGTTACTTAGCTACTTGGGTTTTTTCTCTTCTTTCTCTTGTTATTGGGCCCAGAAGCCCACTATGTAACTATGTATTTATCTTAGGCTGTGTAATTAGTTGAGGTGTATATAAAATACTGGGCCGTCCCATCTATCGGGTAAGAGAGTACAATTAACATTTTGTACAGACTCCATCGGGTTTTCTCAATAGAACACAATGAAAACCTAGAAACTTCCATTTTTTCTCTCAACTGTCTTACAACAAAACCTCAACAATTTGTGGTTGAATCAAGTGTTAACATGGTATCAGAGCCTAGATCTGGATAGATCGGGTGATTACCTCTCGTCTGATGTTACCCTCGCATTTTTTCATTGGAGTTTTTGGTTTCCACTGTTCTTTCGTGTTTTGAGTTTTTCCGGCAAGGTTTTCTGGAATCGACGATGAAATCAGTGATTTTCTACTACCACTTGAATGTTTCTGGTGATTTAACAAATCTATTTGGAGTTTTTGGAGTTTTCTGAGAAGTCTTCATCAACCTAGGGTTTGGTGGTGTTCCTGCACATTCAGCTAGGATTCGTTTGCTTCGTCACTGATTTTGTTCAAGGCCGTTATTCATTCCGGTTGCGAAAGGAAGTTTGCTAACCCTAGTCATCTCTTCTCATTGTTTGATTGTGTGTGTATTTTTCTCTGATTAATTGTGCACAAAAATGCCGAATGATGATGTTTCCTCATCTGCACTACCAACTGCTCGTCCTACTATCTCTCGTTCTGTTTTTCATGAGGATGATTATACGCATCCATGTCATCCCTTTTATGTGCATCCGTCTGATATTTTAGGGTCTTCATTAGAGTCTGTACTTTTTGATGGTACTGGGTATGGGAGTTGGAGACGAACCATCCTTGTGGCTTTGTCTGTTAGAAATACTGGATTTCACTAATGGATTCTTAGTCAAGCCTCCTGACAGTTCTCCCTTGGCGAGACAATGGCAGAGGTGTAATGATTTGGCCGTCTCTTGGTTAACCAACTCCCTGTCCAAAGACATTGCCCGTAGTGTTGAGTACTCTGAACTTGCTAAAGATATTTGAAGTGAGTTGGAGGAAAGATATGGTCAGGCAGATACTGCAAGGGTATTTGAGCTTAAGAAAGAGTTAGCTCACATCTCACAAGGGTCACTTGATATTGCCTCATATTTCAACAAAATCAAGCAATTATGAGATGAAATTGATGCCTTGTCAATTGCAGCAACTGTGGTTTCGAATCTGACTATCAGAAAGATGATGATGTTCAAAAGGTGTATCAATTTTTGATGGGTCTCAATGATGTATATGTGCAAACTAGAATAATATATTCATGATTAAACCATTTCCACCTGTGAGCACTGTATACAGCATACTATTGTCAGATGAGAAGCAGAGGCAGGTCTCTACCTCTCCTCAGTTTCTCCCTACATCTGCCTCTTTCAATGCTTGGGTATCTAAACAAGGGTTCCCTTCCAAAGTTAATTTTGATGCTCAAAGACCTCTTACATGCAAATATTGTAAGAAACCAGGTCACACCGTTGAGAAATGCTATAAACTACATGGGTATCCTCCAAACTTCAAGTTCACAAAAGGGCCTGGAAGTAGGAAAACTGCAGCTCATGTTGAAGTGAACTCTCCTGGTCCTCCTGGTGCTCCTGCTACCGTGGATTCTAATATGGGTCCTGATTATAGAATTCCTCTGAGTCTGGTAATGGTTCAATGGTCCCTGGTTTGACACAAGATCAATTCTCCCAGCTGATGATGTTACTGCAACAGTCTCATGTGTCTGCTGATTCGTCCTCTACTCCCACTCTAATGGCTTTTGCTAACTTTGCTGGTAAGCTGTTATCAGAAAGTATTCTGCTCAAGTGATGCATGCTTTCACAAGTAGATAGTTTTATTTGGATCATAGACTCTGGAGCTTTTGATCACATGACCTCTCATAAGGATTTACTTTTTTAATCTGCAAACACTACCTTGTACCGTGTCTAGATCCTCTGCCAAATGGGTACAAAGTCAAAGTTCATTTAGTTGGATCTTTGACTTTGTTTCCAAATTTCACAATTCATCATGTTCTTCATGTTCCCTCTTTTCAATACAATCTTATTTCTGTTCATAAGTTGTTAGAACAATACAATGGGATTGTCCTGTTTATCAGGATGCCGCTGGTTCTTGGATGCCTCTGGTTCTTGGTAAACTGGACAACAATCTCTATAAGCTTTTACTTCTTCCTGTTGCTTCTCCCAGTACCACATCCTGTTACTCTTCTAGTGTTACTTCCCCCGTTATTCCCCTTGTTATTTCTCATGTCTGTGTTTTCCCTGAGATACAAGCAAATGTAAAGAATGTTAATGTTGTTGATGCTGATGAAACACATGTAAATACTTATGCAACCTTGAATAATATCAATAAAATGGATGTGGTCTGGCATTATAGGCTTGGGCATATTCCTTTTCCAGAATGAAACACATCTCTATGTTTGGGTCACATTTATCTTCCAAACAGTCTTTTTCCTGCCCAATACATCCATTAGCCAAACAAACAAGATTGTTAACAGTAGTATACGAACCACAAAGCCTTTTGAGTTGATTCACATTGACACCTGGGGTCCATATCACTCTCTTACCTATACTGGATCCAAATATTTTATGACCATTGTTGATGATTTTTCAAGAGCCACTTGGACCCACCTAATGGGAGCCAAAAGCAATGCTTTTGACCTCTTAAAAGCTTTCATTGCCATGGCTGAAACTCAATTTCAATTGAAAGTCCAAAATGTGAGAAGTGACAATGCCTTAGAGTTAGGATCCAGCATTGTTGGATCAAAGTTTTTCTCTGAGAAAGGGATATTGCATCAGACAACATGCCCTCATACTCCACAACAAAATGGAGTTGTGGAAAGGAAGCACAAACATCTTTTGGAAACTGCTAGGGCACTTCTTTTCCAATCTGGTCTCCCTCTTAGATATTGGGGAGACTGCATACTCACAGCCACTTACTTGATAAATAGGTTCCCTTCTCATTCATTAAAGGACAAGAGTCCCTATGAGATCTTATATAACAAACTCCCCATATACTTAAATCTTAGAGCTTTTGGATGTTTATGTTACTCTACTGTCCCAAAACCTCATAGGGACAAACTGCAGCCTAGAACCATTCCTTATGTGTTTATTGGTTATCACTTTGGGAAGAAAGCCTATAAATTGTATGACAACAGAATAAAGCTTGTTTTATCTCCAAAGATGTTATATTCCATGAACATATATTCCCTTTTATTCAATCTGGATCGACTTCCCCTACTATGTCAAATTTACCATTTTCTGCTTGTTTTAATCACTTTGCTAAGCAGAATTCCTCATTGTTCCATGATTTATTTTACCCTGCCCCATCCGTTACATCTCCTGTTTCTCCTCATCCCTCCAACTCTACTCCTTATGATTCTGAAATACCTCTGAACAGTTCTCCTGCTTCTCCTAATCTCTCTTCTTCTTTCTATGAATCTGAATTCCCTCCTTTTAAGGAGATCATCTAGACCTCATAATCCTCCTTCTTACCTGCAAAATAATGTCTGCACTATACCTAATCATAGCTCCAGGGCTGCCAATTCAACTGTTATGTCTACTTCTAGTGAGCATCATGCATTTGAGTCTACTACTTATTCTCAGGCAGCAGCTATCCTTGAGTGGCAGAATGCTATGAGAAAGAGTTTCTGAGGCATTGGAGACTAATGGTACTTGGGATATAGTTGAGTTACCCAAGGGCAAGAAGCCAATTGGCTGCAAATGGGCATACAAAATCAAGTACAAAGCTAATGGGAGCATAGAAAAATATAAAGCTAGACTTGGTAAGGGGTGATACACAGGTTCATGAAACTTTCTCACCTGTAGTTAAAATGACTATTGTTAAAACTTTAATTGTTGTAGCTGCTAAAAGAAATTGGCCACTATTTCAACTAGATGTTAAAAATGTTTTCTTGCATGGGGATTTAGATGAAGTTTTTATGAAGCTTCCACCTGGCCTTTCAGTATGTACTGTGCCCCCTGATTCTGCTTCCACTCCTTTGGTCTATAAACTCAAAATATCTTTGTATGGATTGAGACAAGCTTCTGGCAATGGTATGCCAAGTTGTCTCAATCTTTGTCTTCTAGAGGCTATAAGCACTCCTTTTATGACTATTCACTTTTCACCAAAGGTTCTGGTGATGCTTTGGTAATCTTAGTGGTGTATGTTGATGACATTATCATCACTGGGACAGTCGGACAGATCTGTGTGAGATTGCTGCTTTGAAAACCTTCCTCCATGATCAATTTAAAATTAAAGATTTAGGCCATCTTAACTATTTTTTGGGTATTGAAGTGTTGTATTCTGAGGGTGGAGTGTTGTTGCACCAGAAAAAGTTTGTGCATGATCTTCTCAAAGAGTTCCATTCCTATGATTGTTCTTCAGTGATATCCCCTCTTGAGATGCATGACAAATTGCAGGCTGATCATGGTGATCCCCTGCCCAATCCTGAGACTTATAGGTGTTTAGTGGGTAAGCTCAATTTCTTAACCCACACCAGGCCTGACATTTGTTTTGCAGTGCAATATTTAAGCCAATTTATGCAGAAGCCTTGCCTTCCTCACATGCAGGCTACTTTACGTTTGCTCGGGTATCTCAAGGGACTATTGAATTTGGGATCTTCTATAATAATTCCCTTGATCTTTCTCTCAGTGTCTATTGTGATAATGATTGGAGATCTTGCCCGGATAATAGGAAGTCCATCAGTGGGTTTTTGCATTTTATTAGGGTGATGTCTAGTAGGATGGAAGTCAAAGAAACAATTTGTGGTGTCCTTGTCCTCTGCTGAAGCTAAATATAGGTCTATGAGTAAAGCCATTGCTGAAATTACTTGGTTTTGCAAGCTTCTTTCTGATTTTGGTGTTGTTTTCTCTTCTCCTGTCAGTCTGTTTTGTGATAACCAGGCAGCCATCCACATTGCTAAGAATCCTGTCTTCCATGAGCGCACCAAGCACATTGAATTGGACTGCCGTTTTGTACGCACCAAGTTGAATGAAGGTCTTCTTCAGTTGCTTCACACTTCCGGTGCTAATCAACTTGCTGATATGTTCACTAAACCTTTGGGGGGAGCTGTACATTATCTGCATCTTCGCAAGTTGGGGGTTATCTCACCCTCCAACTTGTCGGGGGTGTTGAGATACAAGCAAATGCAAATGTTGTTACTTAGCTACTTGGGCTTCTCTTCTTTCTCTTGTTATTGGGACCAGAAGCCCACTATGTAACTATGTATTTATCTTAGGCTGTGTAATTAGTTGAGTAGTGTATATAAAATATTGGGCCGACCCATCTATCGGGTAAGAGAGAACAATTAACATTTTGTACAGACTCCATCGGGTTTTCTCAATAGAACACAATGAAAACCTAGAAGCTTCCATTTTTTCTCTCAACTGTCTTACAACAAAACCTCAACAATTTGTGGTTGAATCAAGTTTTAACAGCATACGCAATCAGAAATATCATAAAACCAGAAAAAGGCAATAAAAAAAAAATTCAAAAGCAGTGAAGAAAGTTAACCTTTTTCCTCAAATTGAATTAAATTTACAAATGTAACCAGCAGGAAAGAGAAAAAAGAAAATCTGAGTATAAAATACTATCCACATTAGGAATATAAGGTGAAATAAACTGAAGTCAAATTCCACAAATAAATTAGTAGTTTTTAGGAGAGGACAATTCAACATTAAAATAACATGAAGCTGACATCACAAAAATCAACCACCGAAAATTGGGGAGGAAAATAAATAATGCATAGGTACGAACAAACATACTATATATTACACGTACACATGCCCATACACCTAACATATACATGTATCATCAGCATATGCAATAAGGCAGAACACAAGTTAAAAAATTCGAAATCAGTGAAAAAATATTTAACCATTTTACTGTGAATTGGTGGAATTCAACAACTAACCTGAGAATTTTCCGAGGAATGATTTGATTTTGGATTCGTTATCAGCGAATTTGGTGTTCAAAACCCTAAATGCTTATTGAAATTACCTGGAAAAACAAAAACAAGAAATAGCCAAAAGAAATTACAAAAAATGTAAGATAAAACGAGAACACAAAAGGGGAAAAATGATTAAAATATAAAGAGAGAGATTTGCGGTGAAAGGTATTAGTTCTCACAGTGGAAATGGCGTTTTAAGTGGAATTTGAGATTTAGGGCTGTGTTCAGTTTTGTGCGGAAAATGGGGACGGAAAGCGAGAGGGAAAAAAGCTAAATGAGAGAAATAGAAGAACAAAGAGAGGTGAAATGTGGCAGTTTTGTACTGGGTTTTTTATATTGCACTTCCAGCTATTTGAGGTATGTGTCCGTTATGAATTTGCAAGATGGTGACATCTACTTGTATATAGTATTCTTTAATTGCCTTAAAAAAAAAAAAAGAATTCTTTACTTTAATTATAATATATATTCCATCTTAGTAAATCACTCAATTATGATGAGTTGTTATGATTTGATGTGAATATCTAATATGAGTAAGCTTTTACTATATCATAATACCCAATTATCCTGAAAATTCTTGAAGTATTTAGTTTGTTTCTTTTAGACAATACTTTTATATATTCCTAATTGGTTATTTCTCGAAAGTTGTTGAAAACCATTATATTTCCGAATAGAGAGAGAAAAAGTGGCATTGTACAAGTTGTTTGAGTATGTGCCATATGATTCTTTTAAATTTGCAAGTTGGCCATATTATAACAACCATAACAAAAAATGCCTCTGCTATTTTTATTTAAATTAATTTTATTTTTATTTTGTTTTTTGCTAAGAAACGAAAAATAGGAAGCTAAAATTTGGTTATTACAAATAATTGAACATAATGTTGTAATTGATAGCATATCAATCGTTAATCCAGCATAGTCTTTAATGAAAGTATGTAAAGAAAAAGGGAAGGAGTTTCCCTAATATGATAGTGTCACGACCCAATTTTCAATCTAGGTCGCGATAGCGCCCAACACCGAAGTTAGGCAAGCCAAACTTAACCAACTAGTGAGTTCCATTTACGTTACTAAAACATTTCCAACTTTTGCTTGGATTAAATTTAAAACACTCAATAATAATGAAGAGTTTAGGCAATTTAAAACTGAAGTGACCAAATGATGCCATAATTAAGTGATTACATTCCAGAAGATTAGTCTACTAATATTTGTGCCGAGACCTGATGTCACAAGTATATGGGCATCTAGTAGAATATACAAAAATAATATATTTATCCTACTGCTTGAAATAGAATAGACGGTCAAAACAAAGAGAGACTCCATCATGTTGCTGAACAGCATCGGAAAGGAGCAGCTCACCGTGGAATCTCGGCCAACTATCAAGAATGCGCACCAGACGAGTAGCCAGATGCACCGCCTCAGATCCTGTACAATTAAGTACGGAAGCGTAGTATAAGTACATAAACAATATGTACCCAGTAAGTATCTAGTCTAACCTCGAAGAAGTAGTGACGAGGGATCCTTGACACTTACTAGGGTCAATAATGTGATAATATGAAGTTCATTATTCCAATTCACAAGGTACATAGATAGAACAAGTTCAAATAAGAAATAATACTGAAAATTCTCTCATCAATTAATAAATCTAGGCATTTCCTTCTTTTAAAACAAGTGGTCTTTCAAACAATAAATCATACGGATTATAAGAGGTTCCGGTTCTATTATCACACAATTTCCACCAAGGATGTTCGGCCCGATCCAACATAAAAGTAAAATGTGCACTGCCGAGGGTCGAACGGCCCGAACCATATATATACAATTACCAACTTGTCGAGGCGAACGCCCGCTCCCACGAGAGTAGTGGAAATAACCACCCCGCTCGCGGAATATACTTGCGACGCGGTTAAGTATAAATACAACTTAAATATTTCTTTATTTCTGTTCAAAATAATTATTTACTTGAAATCATAACATTCTCAACGAGGTTTCAATCAATGCAATTCAACAATTTATAATTATATAACAATACCCACAAAGCATGGTGTAAGCCTAGAACTATCCGGACATTACAGGAATAGTAGCCACGTACGGACTCTCGTCACTTCGCGCGTACGTAGCCCCCCAAAATCAAATCACATATTAATTAAGTTAACCTATGGGGAAATTTCCCTCTTACAAGGTTAGAAAAGAGACTTACCTCGATTCACTGTCTACTCTCTGGTCCAAGCTTAAGTCCAAACCCTCAGTTTGGTGTCAAACACTCCAAAACTATCCAAATAGCATAGAAACTAATCAATATAGGCTTAAAAGTTCATATCTTAACCATTAGAGTGATTCCCCAATCCAAATTACAAGATTCCTAAAATTCATCCCCGTGCCCATGTGCCTGGATTCCGGAAATTTTTTAAGAAAGTTGTTACCCATAGCCTAAGGAGCGAGAACATATGATTTTTACTCCATTCCATAACAAATTTCGTGGTTAAATCTTATTTTTATCAAAACCCTACTCTAATCCCATAATTTTTTACTAATTTTTGTGTGTTAATCTACCCAAAAACCAAGTATTAAACTCACATTAACTTATCTCACAATTGCTAGGTTGAATTCCCCTCTTTGGAAGCCCTCAAATCGCCCAAGGATATAAATGACCTCAACTAAGCCGAACTCAGGATTTTTAAACTTTCTGCCAGCTGCCCCCTTCATCACGAACGCGACAAGGGCCTCGCGTTTGCGAAGGCTATTGGTTCAGGCCTTCTAAAGGGCCTTCATCGCAAACGCGTCCATGGACTCGCGAACGCGAAGAACAAAGCTGGCCAGGCCCCACTACACTACTCTACGCGAACGCGAGTCGCCTCACGCAAACGTGAAAGTCACTGACCCAGACCTTCGCGAACGCGGAATAGCTATCGCGAATGCGAAGAGCATTTCTCCCCCAGCCCAACCCCTTCTACGCGAACGCGATGGTTTCCTCGCGTTCGCGAAGAAGGTAACCAGAACTGGGCAGATCTGGTATGATGTATTTAGCTTCGAGAGGTCCGAAACTCACCCGAGCCACTCGGGACCCCGTCCAAAGGTACTAACAGGTCTGTAATCATAATACGGACTTGTTCGAATTCTCGAAACACGAAAAACAACAACGAAACCAAGAATCATACCCCAAAACTAAATTGAATCAAACTTTGAACTTCAAGTTTTTCAAATTCGCTGAATGCGTCGAATCAAACTTAGACTACTCGGATTGGCACCAAATTTTGCGTGCAAGTCTTAAATGACATTACGGAACTATTCCAGGTCTCGAAATTCAATTCGGACCTCAATATCACCAAAACTCGCTCCAAACCAAATTTAAAGAACTTCAAAGTTCTTCAAGAACTAGCTTTCACTATTAGGCGCCGAATCGCTCCCGGGTCATCCAAAACCCAATCCGTGCATACGCCCAAGTCCGAAATCATCGTACGAACCTATTGGAACCGTCAAATCCCGATTCCGAGGTCGTTTCCTCAAAATGTTGACCGAAGTCAAACTTGGCCTTTTAGGCCAACCTTAAGGAACCAAGTGTTCCAATTTCAACCCAAACTCTTTCAAATCCCGAACCAACCATCCCTGCAAGTCATAAATTAGTTAAAGCAAGTACGGAAGGTCTTATTTAAGGCAACGGGGTTCTAGAAAGCAAAACGACCGGTCGAATCGTTACAGATAGTATCAATGCCTACAGCGTCAAGAAGAAAAATGCAACATTAACAATGTAATCAATGGAGAGTAGTAACTGTAGAAAATAAATTGCTTAATACTTAAGTATATGTTTCCACAATTAGAGAAATTTTTTTTTTTTAGAAAGCTAGTTCTAGTCCAGCGAATAGGCTAATAGTTCAGCATGCAAAATATGTAGGCACTAGTCTATTCCTTTCGATAAGATTTTTTTCTTTCCCTATTTGATTATTTCTTAAAAAATGTTGGAGACTAGGCCCGGTTTATCCATAGATTATTTTTCTTTTCTTTTTTTCGAATTATTTTTTCTGAAACTTGTTTGTCCATGAAATTTGTTAAGTTTTTTGAGATTTTTCGAAAATGAGTTTTTTGAAAAATAAAAAGTTGTCTAAATTATGTTTTGACCATTTTTTACTCACAAACTGCAATGTTTTTCCAATGACATACATGTCTAAACACAATTTCAAACTCCAAATATTATTTTTCAACATAACTCAAAATATTACTAGTTCCAAAAATCATACTTAATTTTATGTCCAAACGCCTGCTAACAAGTGGATTTTGAGATGCCAACAAGAGGTTCCCGATATTATTATTTTTAAGACTCGCGCGATTCCAAGAGGATTTTGACATAACTTCATCCCTTTAATTGGAGCGTAGCCAAGGTCCATTTGATGCAATTATACGGTGTTGCATCTCTCGCTAAATAAATTGTGGTGATCAAATTCGAAATTTCGACACTCAAGTTAGTAATATCAATAAGAACTCATAGAGTGTGTTTTGAAATAAACTTCTCGACGTGCACCCAAGATAAGCATAAAAAAATTATTTTTATTATTCCCTAGTTGTTTCCAATGCTGGTATAACTATAGCATATCTCCCTCTCCCTTCCCCTCTCCCCTTTCTTTTTTTCTTTTTCTTTTTGTGCAGCTTGGTTCCCTTCTTGTCTTCGGACAAAAACTCTCCTTTACTTATGTTTGGAAGTTACAACACGATTCCTTTGATTTGGTTATTAGAGTGTGCATTTGTAATCGTATAATCGTGATAGCCTTTTTTTCATAAAAAAGAAATTGATCGTTTATCACTCATTCATTCTCTTATTATAAGTTATTAGTCTTAGGGTGCGCGCATTGCGCGTGTATCCCGTCTTAAATAGTGTTTGAACTATAAAATAGTTACATAAAAAAAGTAAGTTCTTCAAAATAATGATAGTTGATCCTATTTAGCTAACTCAATAAAGAAAAATGATGACACTAAAAAGTCCTCAATCATCTTGGTCAATATATTCAACTAAAAAATTGTTTTATTATATTTCATTATTATTTCACAAGTCTTCATGTTTTTTTAAGGGCAAGCATTTTTTTGTTTGGTATTCTGAAAGCTAACAAAAAATAGAGGGATGACCAAAAAAATGCCTTCGATATTGAAAAGCTTAGATTTGCATATGACAAAGCTAAAAAATAGACTTCAAATAGAAAAATGCATAAAAAAAAGCCACCCCTCCTTGTCAATGAGATCAAGTCTTGTATCCAACTGAAAAAATCATTATAGATCATCAAAGTGCAAACATATTTTAGATCCGGTATTAATTATTAACGAATTTTATATTTAAGATTGCAATTTTTTGA